CCGTGCTTCTCCTTCACCTGCGGCCACGCTCCGACAAATGAGGGGCAACGTCAGTGGGGGACCAGCTCAGGGGGGGAAGAATCGACCTGGACTCGGCGATACATCGCCGATACAGCCGGCCCGTATCATCAGGATGCGCGGTAAGGATGTACGGGCCTTGGACGCCCATTTCGAAGCTTCGAGCGGGGCGCGGCCAACGAAAGTGGCGAAGGAGGGACCGAGGCGGCAAGAAAGCAAGGGTACCCTTGGGAAGGTGACCCATCCTGACTATTCTGGTTGACTGTATCTAAACGAAAAGAACAACCCAAAAAAATGCCATAGACATAAACTTCCTCCGCACGGATTTCTTGGATCAGCACTGGACCCCCTCCCTGTCGCGCAGAGCGTGCCAGGGGCGGCGCCGAAGGCGCCGCCCGGGGGCCCAGGCGCAGATCCAAGAAATCCGTGCGGAGCGCCAAAAGTTTATGTTTATAGCGTTTTCCCTCTTCGAACATCGGCGGTACGCCCAGGTCAGGCATGTCCCCCTACGGGCGGATTCTGAGCGAAACAGTAAACACACCCCCGACAAATACCCCTGAATAATCAAGACACAATCTTAAACACCAACTCCACACACACACACACACCAAAACAAAAAAAAAAAACGGCCCCAGACTATTGTTTGACTATGTTTGAACACTCCTCCTGTCGAGGGGCAGGCCCGGCGCAACGACGGGCCCCGACAGCAGGCCCGCGCTGCCTCTGCCGAGGCGTCGTGCACTCCTCGATGGGCCGAGGCCCCGAGGCCCGGGGGGGCCTTCGCGGCCCAACGCGGGGCGGCCGCAGGGCGTGGGGGGGGGGGGGGGGCGCAGCGCCGAGCGCGCGCGCGCGGTTTAGCCGACTCGCCTGCGCCCCGGAAGGTGACAGGCGAGGTTTTTCCCGAGTGCGAGCGCTGCTCGGGTTGGGCGGAAGGGGGGATAGCAAAGGGGGGGTTTGAGAATCAGCTCACGTAGCTGATTTTCCCGGCGCCTCCCGGCGCCGGAAGCGGCCATGTATCGAGGAATGGGCCTCTCGGTGAGGCCGAAACCAGCTGCATGCAGCAAATTTCGTACCCCCCCCTTTCCCAATCCCCCCCTTTCGCCCAGCCCGAGCTGCAGGAGAAGACCAGCTGGGCCGGCGGCGAGCGAGGGGAAGCAATTGCAGGTCGGGCACGTCCCCCTGCAGAGGGGGAGTCTGGACGACAAACCAAGAATATCTTCAGAAACATGCAGGAAGGTCGAAAAAATGCTCAAAAAACCATTCCCCGACTGTGTGTTGACAATGTTTGAACATTCCCCCTGTAGAGACACGCCCGACTTAAAACCAGCTGGTCGGCGGCGAGAGAGGGGGGTAATGAGAACAGAAAGAAAGACGATCTGCGCTGGACCTCCCTCCCTGGCGCGCGGAGCGCACCAGGGGCGGCGCCAGAGGCGCCGCCAGCGGGGGGGGCCAGGCGCAGATCCAAGAAATCCGCGCGGAGCGCCAAGAGTTCATGTTTATGGAGTTGCTTCTTCTTCGAGGAGTAAGAAGAAGAAGGCCTTTTCAGAAGGCGGCGGGACGTCTCACAGGAACCCCCGCGCCTTCGGAGAGGTCGTCTGCGTCTTCGGGGAAGGCTCAGAAGACTCTCAGGAGGCCGGGGGACGTCCGAGCCTTCTGCGAAGGCCCGCCCCTGCTCACTCCCCCCCCCTCGATCGCCGCCGACGGACAGAGAAGATGAGCCGGGGGGGGAGGAGGAGGAGGAGGTAGGAGGACGGAAGGAGGAGGATGGAGGAGGAGGAGGGAGGAGGAGGAAGGAGGAGGAGGAGGAGGAGGAGGGGAGGGGGAGGGGAGGAGGAGGAGGAGGAGGGGGCGCCCACGCGCTGGCCTACGCGGGCGGCCGGCGCGGCGCGCACGCCACACTGCAGAGGCAAAGGGCGCCCACGCGCGACCTCGCGCGGGGGCAGCCTGCGCGAGAGCGTCGGCGCAGTCGGCCCCCATTCCTTCTCCTCCTCCTCCTCCTCCTCCTCCTCCTCCTCCGCCTCCTCCTCCTCCGCCTCCTCCCCCTCCTCCTCCCCTCCCCCCCTCCTCTCTCTACTCCTCCTCATCCCATCCTACTCTCGTCTCCTCCGCCTCCCGCGGAGGCGAGAGGGCGGCGCCCTCGCTGGCCCCGCTCGAGCCCCGCCCCGTCGGCCGCAGTCGGCGCGTCGCTGCACTGGAAGGCACGAGGCTTCTCTAGACGAGCGCGTTCCACGACTCGCAAAAAAAAACTGCTCGCCAATGGCCTGGATCCCCCGCGGGGGATCTGCGACAACTTCGAACAGAGCAGACATGCGTTTTTCTCTGAAGTTGGCGAGTAGGCTTCAGTCGGGCGTGTCAGTCTCTTCAGAGAGAATACTCAAAAAATACTCCCAAATGATCAAAAATAGTCAAAAAAAAATGGTCCCCAGACTATTCTTAACCATTTTTGAATGTTCCTACTGTAGAGGGACAGGCCCGACTTAAGAGTAGGCACTTTGCGAGTAGTGGAACGCGCTCGGCGATTCTCAAATGCATCCGAAGACACCACAGGAGAGACGATGCGTCTTCACAGGAGGGCCACTGAGCCTCGCCCAGCAAGCTTCCTCTGCAAGGCCAGCCACGGTCGGTGACAGCAGAACCGAAAAACGACCGAGCCGACGGCGAGATCGAAACCGACCGAAATCGACGGACCGCAAGCAGCCCGAAAGAACGCAGCGGCGCAGTAACCGACCGAACCGAACAGAACGAGCGCAGCCGACTGCGAAGCGGCCGAGCCGACCGAATCGCGGACCCCCTCGAGCACACTATGCTGGGGGGGGCAAAAGAGTGCCGATACCGCTGCTCTCCTAACCTCTCCAAGGATGGGCTCTACAGTGGATGCCAGTCTACAAGAAACCTTCCACAAGAAATCCAACCCTGAGACCCCAAGGCGTCCTTTGACTTTTGGTGTGGGAACGTCACGCTTTCCATCGAAAAGGAGGAGGAGAAAGAGGAGGAGGAGGAGGAGGAGGAGGAGGAGGAGGAGGAGGAGGAAGGGGTATAAAGAGGAGGAGGAGGAGGAGGATCATTTCCGAAGTCCCCTTCGTTTCTTGACTGGCCAGTCGATTGGGAAGGCACTTCGGGAAGCTCGGGGGCGGGATACCGCCCGCGGAGGTGTGCAGGGACAGCGACCACGTGCTCCCGCGCCGTCGACCACCGCGCACCAGCTGTGACTCTCACGCCTCGCTCCAGGCATAGGGGCTCCCGACGTGGGCTGCCGCCTCCGCACGCGTGCTCGAACCGCTCTCCGGGTGCAGCCGCGGGTCTCTGCCATACTCGAAGGGGCCCGGGGGGAGGAGGACGAGGAGTAGGAGGAGAACGAGCGAACGAACGAACGCCAGATCCGTGCGCACGCCGCGTGGGCGTCCGCACGCGCCCGTTGGGGCGTGGCGGCGGAGGCCGTAGCCTCGACGCGGAAGAACACCTGGTGTGTCTGAGGAGCAGGCAGTGCGAGGAGGAGGAGGAGAGGAGAAGGAGGAGGAGGCGGAGGAGGAGGGGGGGAGGAGGAGGAGGAGGAGGAGGAGGAGGAGGAGGAGGAGGAGGAGGAGGAGGAGGAGGAGGAGAGGAGGAGGAGGAGGAGGGGTTGGAGGAGGAGTTGGAGGAGGAGGGGTTGGAGGAGGAGTTGGAGGAGGAGTTGGAGGAGGAGGGGTTGGAGGAGGAGGTGTGTCGAGCCTCTCGGAGCCGGTCCTCTCCTGCCAGACATCCCGCGGCGAGATCTCATCCATATTCTGCGCGGCCTCTCAGAGGCCCCGACCCCTCTCACGGCGCAGAGCGTAGTCTCTCAAAGGAGCCCAGGGGCACACAGAGAAAGACACACAGATCCCAGGGATCCCCATATGTTCCTGTGTTGTCTGGGCTTTCGTCTTCCCCCCCACTTCCCATCTTCCCATAATTTTCCTGGGGCATCGACGATTGACTGTGTCTGTGTGTGTCTTTCCCTCCCTGAGTATCGTCGGTGGCGTCGTGTCTGTATCAGATGGTACAGTCAGCGCGTATCAGAAGGACGTAGGATGAGAATGCAAGGGCCTTGGAAGGCCATTTCGACACTCTGCGAGCAGGGCGCGGCCAGCGAAAGCGGCCAAGGACGGGCCGAAGGAGAAGGATGCAAGGGTAACCTTGGGAAGCTGCTCCATCCTTACTATGCAGGTTGACTGTAGCGCATGGCCTGTCGGACGAGACTATGTCAAGGCGCCAAGAGCTCACGGCACAGCGAGACGAGCGTGACCAGGAAAATAGAAACAAGTAGCTGGGCACATCACGCCAAGTAGGGCTCCCCGACTCTCTAGCCCACTCCCAGTGAGGGCAGCGTCAGACTGCTGGGACGAGCGTGGGCAGGGAGGGGGGGAGGGGGAAGTCTCCTTTGGGATAAAATCCCACAACTTCCCCCCCGTGAGCCTGCGGCGGACACAGACCAACTCTCCGACGTTTACACTGGCGTCTGGGACAGCAAGACATCCAGAACGTGCATCCTCACAGCGAGCGTGGTGAAGTCCAGCA